TCCATCGATTTCTGAAGGGGATTGCGTATCATTTGAAAGAACTGATTGACTAATCCTATGGACATTTGCATGTTTGTTAAAAGTTTTAATGTCAGTCGAGTTATAATATATATTTATATATATATATACATATCTATATATATATATAGTCAGCAGTAGTCTGTAGTGTTTGTCGGATCCCTGACTGAACATGAATGAACTAGTTTGTTCGCTTCCTTTCTGCACTTCGTCAGTTGGGTAGTCAGATAGTTTGGTTTTGTTGCATGGTAGCTAGTGAAGGCAACACTATACTTCAGAAGACAATTACCACACCAGGCCTACCAACCACTTCCCAAGTAATTACATGTCCACATTCGCAATGGTGTTTTTTGGGAAGCACTATATACGCGTCCTTAAACCCGGCAATTTCAGTTTTAAACGAACGACATGTGTTGGGTTTATGGCATTCATAGCTATCATGTTGCTGCTTGTATATTCCATCACTGTATATTCCGCTAAATCCTATTAACCCCCATGTCCCCATGATATCCCCATAATATGGCATTATACCCTCCCATAACCAGACATAGATGTGGAACAAACCCATGAATATAGATCATGTTTCGAGCGGGAAAACCCTTGGTTTTCCACATTTTTTGTATGTTTATCGTGGGGTAACTATTCAGATTTATGTCTACAACACGGGTCTCCCCAGCTATAAGTTGGCTTATAACCCTCATTAACTATACTTATAATCAAATATACTTAGGATGTTTTAAGTATCAGCAACCCAGTCGTTATTGGAGGTATGTTGGTGAAACATGGTGACACTAGCTACCCTTTTGGGGGCCCCGCATGTTGTACTCGTATCCCATGGGGTGGCGCATCCATAAATCGAGGCGAGCTGCGCGCCTCTATGACAAACTTGGGGGAACGCCTCAACGACACAGAGGTGGCCCGGAAACAGTTTTCTGGGAACACCATCGTTATAACCATGTTAAACAGCAACTCCTCCGACAAGATCAAAAAGTATATGTGTAACCGACAAAATTAGCAGAACACTATTAAAGTAGTAGGGAGTGGACTTGGGTTGTTTAAATTTGTGTGAAAACCTTCACAACTGATAGGGACCACCCACTTACCGAGATAGATAGATAGATAGATATATATATATATTTGTATTTACACATAGCGTGGAAGTACAAACCTTCACAACCGATAGGGAACCACCCACTTTTGCCATGTCCCTTGCGAGTATAAGTAATTTTGTCCGCCACTCATATATTGTTCATTGTGTCGGACATTGATTTTGGGTCATGGTTCTTCAGGATCGCTGGCCGCTTTTCTTAAGTCTCACCCTGCTGACTGGCACTGTGATTCGGTCAGATTTCCGAAATTGCGACTGGGATATATGATGTGTTTACAGGACGGGGATTAACTATGGTTTATGGTAGATATAACGAGCTAGTTAATGAGGATTACAATGGTTTATAAACCAACAAACATCACTGGGACGCCCCATCCTGCACCAAGTAACTTTTTTTAGGGGTTGGCCATGTCTCCAAAACATCGACAGGATCACCTGTTGAGAACCCGATTTTGTGACCTCGCGTGCTGGAAACTTCTCATTTTGATTAAAAGCCTCCAGCTACAGGGGATTTCGCAGCCAGCAATGTTTGAGTACCGGCGGTTAGCTATGGAACATGTCAAATTTTATATAAAGTTATAGGTGAATTACCAGATTTTACCTATCATACCCTTTTGTTTTGTTATATTTTGTTGATGTTGCATAGATTTGTTGGTTCTTGCCACAGGGTAAGTGAGTTGTCCAGCCATTCCAGCCACCCGTTGAGCAAATCATCCCACAACGGGCCCTGCTCTTTACAGGTCCGAATTATATGCATATGATTGTATATGTACATATGACTCTATATAGACATGTATAGTTGCAATCTTGGGTAGCTTAAGCCCCAGGTTTGATCGGAAAACCGTCAGTCCCCGTTCATCCCATTTCATATCCATTCATATTCCCTTTTCTTTGATATTTACATATTTAAGTTGGTGAAGCTTCAGTTTGTTGCTGGTCACCATCGTACTCCGTACGAGAAAAACATATTTTTCACTATTCTGGTTACACATTAGATATGCAGAAATTCTACATACATAGATCTGTGGTTGGTGTTTATCCCCTTTGTAGAATCTCTTCCCATGATTTTCCCATGATTTTCCAAGTTCTCGTTGTAACGTTTCGACCCGCAACGCGCCCATCGCAAGCCACGCTCCAAGTAGGTGGACGAGATGATCCACGAGGCCGACTTGGACGGCGATGGCTTGATCAACTACGACGAGTTCGTCAGGCGGCTGCGACTCACCGACCCTTCCCTGGGCCCTGGGCGAAGTTGGAGGATTCCACTGAAAATATGACAAACATGACAAGGGTTACACAACGGGAATATTATATATATATATTATATATATATATATATTATATCTTTAATGCGTGTATATAATCAATGGATGGTCCAAAAATGGGGGGTTCCATAAATGGAGATCCAACCAAAATGGTTGTTTTTTTTCATGGAAACCACCATGTAATAGAAAATATGAATGGAAAATACTTTCTGGAAAATAATGTGGGATATAATGGATGAAGGTCTGAAAATATGAATGGAATATATCCCAGACGTTCCATCTATGGAATATTCACCTACATTTGGGCCATTTTGGTTGGACATGTAGGTAAATATTCCAAACATGGAGCATCTGGGTATAATATGAATGGAAAATATGATTGATGATTTTCAGTGTCTTTTTTGTTTTTTTTTTTGTTTGGAGGAGCGTAAATGGGAAATCATGAATGGGATAATCGGATAATCATGAATAGAATAATACTGTTATAGTCAAACCATCCCCAAAAGTCTATAGTATCAATGGGAGATCTTCAGGATCCTAAAATGGAGGTACGTTAGTACCATATAAGGCCATATTTTAGGGTGATATTCCCTTACATAGGCCTTATATAGGCCTTTATGGTAGGTACCTCCAATTTAGGTTCCTGAAATGGCCATTGATAGTATACCCTGGGCAATGCGATGATGCAAAATATGCAAAATTATCCCCAGGCATGATTAGTGACTGGGATTGTTAATTTTTGATGTTACCACAGTAAGGGCTATGTAAATTAATCGACAAACATGACACAGATTACACAACGGGATACATATACATATATATATGTGTGTAAATAATGGGTGTATATAACCAATATCAGGCCTCAATCGACCCATAAATTGGTGAGCTGAATCTATTTCTTGTGTACGTCCACCATTTTTTGAGGGTCAAGGTATTCATATACAAGAATGGAAAATCAGGGACATACCTAGTCGCAGCCAACATTGGATATAACAAAACAAACACAGATTTAACCAAAACAACAATCAACATGGCTCAGTATGTGACATATACATCCAAAAAAAATATATATATATATATATACTTAGTGGGTTTCATTCAAAGATATACCAATCATACGGTAAACCCAACCATTGGGGATCACATCATATGATCAAAGCTATGTCAACATCGTCAACGTTCAACGGGTGCAGACAGGTTTCACCTCTCACCTTGACAGGATGATGATGGCCAGCAAATGAGTGGCCAGGGCTCCTGGGGCTCCTGCGCAGTACCGCCCAGATGGTCGCTTAAAGCGAAAACATCTGAGATGCTGTTCGATCTACCCTCTGGTAATTTTTCACTATGGAAAATCATCATTTTCTAGCTGCAAATCATGGTAAATCCACTATTTCGACTGGGCCATGTTCAAGTTCGCGAACTGTTAGTTAGTCATTACCAGAGGGTAACACAACCCGAATCAGGCAGCATATTCAAATGACGAAACTGGGGAGTTTTGTTCTCTTGGGACCCGCAACGGGCCATGTATCAACATCTCTGGTGAGTTCAAGTCCTGTTCGAAAAGTTCCAGGACAGACGTTCTCAAACAACCTGGGATTTAATGATTAGTGAGTCTTCAAAATCATCCCAGAAGTTGCCTCAAATATGCTTTCGGGATTTAGATCTCAGGACTAAGCAATACACTAAAACGATTAAAAAAGAGACTATCCAGAGGGATCGAATGGGTTGTAAAGGAATAGGATCCACCATCCCCAAATTTACCATCTTTGTGGGTTGTATGAACCATTGGAATCCATTGGAACCATAAAAATAAGGTGGCTCATTATAGCCATTACCACAGTTACCTCCGAATCTCCACGCTGACTGATGGTTTCACAGCCTTGGGCCAGGCCCGGGCACGGAGAAATTTGCCGATGCCCAGCTGACAGCTGCACGACGTCGGGAAAAGTGGCGGGGTATGGATGTGCAGCATTTGTGTGATGGGCCCCGGCATTTCACATAATTATATCTCTCTCTCTATATGCATATATATATATACATACTTAGATTGATGATTTGCTGTTTGTATATTTATATATATATACACATTCACATTTATTTATTTGTGGTTCATACATGAAACGCTTATAGGTTGGTCATGTTTTGTATGGTGCTTAGTTCCACCTGCGGATAGTAGCACCTTGGCAAATTCAACTTGACCTTTCCGGGGGTTATAATGGACAGGAAAATGGGGATAGAGAAAAAACACAAGATTGCTTATATCAATTTGTATATATATATATAATATCAACATTTAGCTGGGAACATCATCTATCATAACTCCTGGTTTTTGTCCCATCGTCCCAAAAAAATGGTGTGTTGGTATCATCATTTATACAATGTGAGGCCCCCAAGATAGCTAAGTTGGTTTATAACTCCAATAACTATGGTTTATGGTACTTATAACTATAGTTACTGGGGCTTATAAACCAACTTACAACTGGGGGGCCTCACATTGTATCTATCTAGTCCAAGTTTATAACCACTTACACCCAATTTTTCAGTGGATAGGCCGCCAGGCCCAGGGAACCCCAGGGAACTAGCTCCGTGGTGACTCACATTTTTCAAGCTGCTGGATCAACCAAACTTAAACCTCAACCAACATACAGGGCTCTAGGGGCTTCAAATCACATATAAACCCCATTGAAATCACATGAAACCACAATTGAATACCACTATGTAAATCCCGTTCCAATCCAATTGAATCCCATTGAAATTCGATGAAACCCAGTAAATCCTCAGGTAAATCCTATTGTTCGATGGGTTTATTCACCAACAAAACATCTCATCCGAGGTCAGGTCGCTTTGTCGTTTCGTCTCAGGTCAAGGTACGGAGCAAATCGGGCAGGACGTGTGGACGGTCGCGCGCGAGGTGGACCAGGCCAGGGAAAGAAGCGGAGTTTGGGCGGGGAAAAGGCTGGAGTTCAGAATTTGTTTGGGGGAATGCTCTCTGGTAAAACTAACATAACTATGGAAAATCAACATTTTTATATAATGAGTAAATCAACTATAAATGGTCCATGTTCAATAGCTATGTTAGTTTAATTACATTACTGCAGGGTAACTGGGATATAACTGGGATATAATTAACCGGGAACAATTGATGGTTTAAGCACGTTTCTAGGATTTAATGGAGGTAGAATGGTGCTACATGAAAAATAGGATAGTTTAATCTGGAAAGAGGTGGATTTCTATCCCTCAACAACGGCTTTATTATTGAGATTCAATGGGAGTAGAATGGCATGTAAATGGGCAATTCACCATCTATACTTGGGATTTTTTAATGAAGAACATTAATAGACCGTGCCTGTAACTAACCATTCCAGTGGTGAGCGGAGGGAGCGGTTTGGAGCGGTATCCGAATTCTTTCTTGGGGAGCAAATTAGTTTTCCAAACCAAACAAATGATAGAATTGGTTAAATATGTGGTTTCAGTTGTCATGTTTTTCCCGAGAGCGTCTGAGCGCAGGGTTCTTCCAATAGTGGGGGTCTGTATTTCATCTTCTCATCTTCACACCTTCTCATCTTCACATCTGCTCATCTTCATCTTCACATCCTCTCATCTTCACATCCTCTCATCTTCACATCCTCTCATCTTCACATCCTCTCATCTTCACATCTTCTCATATCCTCTCATCTTCACATCCTCTCATCTTCACATCTTCTCATCTTCACATCCTCTCATCTTCACATCTGCTCATCTTCACATCTTCTCATCTTCACATCCTCTCATCTTCTCATCTTCTCATCTTCTCACATCTTCACATCTTCACATCTTCTCACATCTTCTCACATCTTCTCACATCTTCTCACATCTTCTCACATCTTCTCACATCTTCACATCTTCTCATCTTCACATCTTCTCATCTCACATCTTCTCCTCTTGCCCTCTTGCCCTCTTGCCCCTCTTGCCCTCTCCTTCTTTTCTATTTCTCTTCTGAAGGCGGGGGCAGGGGCAGTGCCAACGAGACGGCACGAAACGCAACCCTTTCGCACGAAACGAGGTTCGATCGGCAAAAACTGAGGTAAAATTGCGATTTTACCTGTGCCGGAGCAACCCTTTCGCACGAAATGAGGGTCGATCGGCAAAAACTGAGGAAAAATTGCGATTTTACCTGTGCCGGAGCAACCCTTTCGCACGAAATGAGGGTCGATCGGCAAAAACTGAGGTAAAATTGCGATTTTTCGTGTGCTGGAGCAACCCTTTTTGCACGAAATGAGGGTCGATCGTCAAAAACTGAGGTAAAATTGCGATTTTACCTGTGCCGGAGCAACCCTTTCGCACGAAATGAGGGTCGATCGGCAAAAACTGATGAAAAATTGCGATTTTACTTGTGCTGGAGCAACCCTTTCGCACGAAATGAGGGTCGATCGTCAAAAACTGATGAAAAATTGCGATTTTACTTGTGCTGGAGCAACCCTTTCGCACGAAATGAGGGTCGATCGTCAAAAACTGAGGAAAAATTGCGATTTTACCTGTGCCGGAGCAACCCTTTCGCACGAAATGAGGGTCGATCGTCAAAAACTGAGGTAAAATTGCGATTTTTCGTGTGCTGGAGTAACTTTCTCGCGCGCAAAGAGGTTTATGTGTACGAGCGTTTCTGTGTAGAGATGTTTGTGCGTAAAAGTGTTTGTGTGTACAAGTGCATCTGTGTAAAAGTGTTGTGTGTAAAACCTTCTGTGTGTAAAAGTCTTTGTGTGTAATGTCTTCCGCAAGTTCAGCAGCGGCGTAAATTTGCAACGGGAAATTACAGCTGGCATTGCAACCGGAACTGTCTGAGCAATACCACTGTAGGCTCCCGTTGCGTCGCTAAGCTGTAGTGCTTCAATTTGCAACGGAGGACACACAGTTGGCATTGCAACCAGAACTGTCTGAGCGATGCCACTGTAGCCTCCTGTTGTCCAAATGCGATTTAATTTCAAACGTGCAGCTTGTAATCTACTGATTGCAATCTTCTGCAAACAGAACTTTCTCAGAATGCGACAGCAGCGTATAAAAAGGATTGCAATTGGTAGTGTTTGTTGGTTTATTCCTGTCAGAAACGGTGCAAACAGTTTACTTTGACATTATCAGACTTGAGTCTTTGAACTGTAGGTTGTCGGAGAAGATTTGAAATCAATGTTTGCTTCCCTATGCATGATTCTATATCTTCATATCCATATTCAGTTAGTTCAAAATGTTCCGCGTCAGTTTCGTTTGAAGCCAGGTTGTGCCATGGAACTGCACTTTCACAGCGCAAGCAATGAAGAAGCTGAGGCCTGGGAAACTTGCTACCATTCGTCAAGCCAGCTTTTTTCCACATTGGTCCATATGTGAGTGTGTGTATGTGTGTGTCCGTGAGTGTTGTTTGTGTCTGGTTTGCTTGAGAGAAAAGAACTGAAAGAACGAATGGTTGAAAAATCTTTGAATGAAAAGGATTGAAAGACCAAAAAGTACTGCTTCTTTGCACCGCAGGCAAAGGATACCATCATCGAGGTGCAGCCCAACAATGTGTGGGTGACATCTGTCTTAGGCAATCCCACGTATGTGGCATGCAGAAACTGCCGTACAAAGATCGACCCGGACACTGGGCACTGCAAACGGCACGACACACACAGTTGTCAGACGGAGCGTGATGATGAAATCGCTATTTTGGCGACAGTGAATCTAGCAGATCACACTGGAGAGATCGAAAGAATTCTGGTCGACGAACAGAATCTTCAAGCTCTGGCGGCTGTAGCTTCCAAGGAGCAACTTCTCACACTCTTACAGAAACGTGGTCCAGCAGGAATTTGCTTCAAGCAGCCAGTGGACGTGAGGCTAGCGACAAACAACCGCAAAGCGGGCATGTCACGATCCAATGTGCCTGCAGCCGCTGCCGGTGTGTTGCAGACGCAAGAGAGTGAAACAGCAACTCTGCAATTGGCAGAATGTCAGTTTCAAGTCGTAGCTGCACAGCCTGCGTTGTACAAAGCATACAATGACCAGAGCCGGCCGATGGTACGCAAGATTCTGCGCTTGGAGAACCAGAGAGCCGTTGGTATGGTGTATCCCATTGCTTGTCCATATGAAGATTTGCTCTTTTCAGGCTTTGGTGTGAAATTGCAAGATGCACCCATTTTCCCTGGGTACATCAGTATGCTCGTTCGCGCGGACGATGAGGAGCCAACCATCAAGAAATCGGGCACTGGAGATGATGAAGTCTTCATGATGCAGCACACCAAGGTCATCGCTGTGGCAGCAAAAAATCCCAAACCATTCTCTGTTGAAGCTTTCTGCCAACTGGAACAAACGCACCATTTCAACATGGCAGATCACAAAGTGCATCTGTTGGTGGGAAAAGTTTCCGCCGACGATCAAGGTGCCAACATGACTGTGATCGCTGAGAAGATCTTCAAGCTGACGACTGATGAGCAGATGGACGCAGTGGAAGCAGAGCGACGTGGCATCTGTGGACTGCAAATGAGCACCACCCAAAAACGACCTGCTTCTGATCTCATTGTAGAAACGCCTGCCAAAGTGAAAGCGGGCAAGTGGAACAATGCCTGACAGCTGGCTTTCAAGACAGCATGCAATTAGCAAGTAAGAACCTGGCAGAACTCAATGGTGTTTAACGCATCGCACGTGAAGCAACCGGATCTGTCTGAGCTTCACAAGCGAGCACACCAGTACTGTTTGAGGTTTACGTAGAATTATGTCCTTTTGCAAGTGTCGCATGTGAAGCAACCAGAACTGTCTGAGTTTCCATGCATGAAAGCAAATCTGTGTTCCGTGCCTGAGTTGCCCAAAAGATTTGCCTGCTTGAAGAGCTTTGTGTTGTCGCTTCCAGCTGCTTCACTCCACAGCTTGAATGTACGATGTGGCAGCTTTTTTCTTCTCAGGTAAAAGACATCAGTGTTCTCAGGTAGGCTCATCCATGGCGCAACGTGTGATGCTGAAGTGGTCGCAAGCCAGGCAAAAGGACATCCAGGAGGCGTACAATGATACTGCTTCATGGACGGCCTTGGACGAAATCATCTACCAACACACTTACAGCTTCTCATCCATAGCTGCATGGCCTGTGGATGGTTGCCTGGTTTGCCAGCCTACAGAAAGGGCAAGTGTGCTGCTTGGCAGCTTGCAAGCCGCTTGCAACTTGGATGTCATCAAAGAACATCTTGGCGTCTCCGTAACAGTGGTTGTTTCCATGTGTGAGACTGAGATGCAATCACATGGAGCTCCATCGAATTGGAAAGATTATTTCAGTGAACGCGATGTAGTTCATATTCATTGTCAGTTGGATGACATCACATTGAAGCAGCCGGGCCGCGACTTGGAACGGCACGAAGCATTGCAAAGGAAATGCCTCTCCAGCTGGAAAAGCATATGCCTCCTGTGGCAACAGTCAATCATTGCCGTCCACGAAGACAAGCCCATGCACATTTTGTTTCATTGCTTTGGTGGGATCAATCGCAGCGCCGCGATTTTGTGTGCTTGGCTTATTGTGGCCTATGACTACAGCGCGGAGGATGCGATCAAGTTGTTGCTCACAAAGAGGCCGTCTCTTCGCCCATGGCGCCATCGAGAGTATGTTTTGGATGCATTGTGGATGGTGGAACAACAGCGCTCTGAGTGGTGCCGGGATCTCGAACATGGCGCAGCCTAGCTCGCACTTGCTTGCGCACTGCGAGCCTTGGTAGCACGTTTTTTTCAATTTCCAAATGGAATGCATCAGCATGAGTCAACCAGAACTGTCTGAGACTTGCTGATGCACGCATCATGTATCCTGTTTCACCATAGGGCAGCGGCAGAAGTCAAACAGAACTGTCTGAGACTTTGGCAGCTACACCCAACTTCATCATGACAAAAAGTTGCTCATTGCTTTAGTTTTCACACAAAGTGGAAAGTATCTGTGCAGAAACC